GATGGTGATACACATGAAAATTAGTAATTATAAATATCTTGCACAATATAAAATATTTGTACACTTATTACGATATTCGAGTTTAAGAAAATTTATAACTAAATAATATAATGACACTCGATTGTACGAGGGAAACTATTAGATTTAGTAATGTAATTTTCCAAATTATATTGAGTTTGTTCTCTTTTTTTTTTGGTGTGTGTATCAACATATATTGAGTTTGTTCAATAGGACGTATGTTTCCACTCGGATTTAATATAAATCACAAAAATTCAGATATTTCGTCTATAATATATTGCATTTTGAAGAGTAAATCATTTACTAAGTGCACTACTACTCTTTCACTTAGCATAAGTGTGTTTTTTTAATTATTATTCATTCATGTGTGTTGCCTAATAAAGTACATATGCTAATATCAGTTTGGTGATTGGATTTGTCAATGTTTTGTTTTCGTTGGTAAGTTGGCAAATATATGTGGTACGTACGAATAAAATGCTTTTTTTCCTCACGCCTGACATGGTATTGGTTAGTTTTATGTCTTGTCGATTTTGTTGATTATTGGAAGCTTTTCTTTCAAGCGAAGTAATATTCGATATAATGATTTGTCTCATCGAAAATGGTTAGTCAATCTATTACCCCGTAATTCAAGCTAGGCGAAATAATTTAATTTGAAGTTTTTTTTTGTCAGCTATTTAATTTGTAGTTAACAATTTCTCACTCCGTTCTATGAAAAGTGATGTTTTAAATTTTTTTCTTGTTTTATAAAAATTAATGTTTTAGATTATTAAATAATATTTTATACAAACTTCAAAAAACATTAATTAAAAATATTTAAATTCTAAATTATTATTGGTATATATGTATTGAAAAATAGTTAATATTAAAAAATAATATATTAATAATTTATAACTAATTATTTTTTAATTCACGTGAAAAAACTAAAACAAAATATTGAACGGAGGGAGTATTTATTTAGGTTTACATCAACAATTAAAATTTGTGTACATTTTTTCAAACACAAGTGGTATCATTCATTAGTATGCTTAATGCATTATGCGAAACCTTGACGCGCGAAAGACACGTAATAGCTAATAATGGAGAGGTAATTATAAAAATATTATTTAGGAGCGTCTATTTATAAAAATGCCACT